GGGGGGGGGCACTGAGAATGCAAATGGTTCATACAACAATGCATTAGCCGGCTGGCATGTCTCAGTGGTTGAGCGTCAACCTATGAACCAGGAGCTCACAGTTCGATTCTGGGTCAGGGTACATGCCCAGGTTTTGATCCCCAGTCAGAGGTGTGCAAGAGGCAGCCCATCAATGACTCTCTTTCCGTCTCCCTTCCCCTCTCTGAAACCAATAAAAACATATTTTAAAAAAAAACACACAAAAAAATGCTGTCTTAAAATCTAACGGAAAAATTGTCTGAGATTGGTAAAATATCTACCACCATGTATATATTATCTGCGCTCGTTCTGGTTCTCTGATATATAATGGCAATCTAGAATTTGAGATCAATTTTAATTTTAAAATTACCCGTATACTCCTGTGTAGCATCAAGTGGGTCGATCCAGACAGTGACACTTTCTGCTGGTACCTCTTTAGGGGTAGCTATTTCCTTCAGGATGTCCTCAGGAATTTTACGATCCCATAAGATAACCTCCTGATCGCTGGCATCCACATGTTCCTCTGTATTTATCTGCATTAAAAATAGGTGATAATTAAAATTTTTTACAGTAAGAAAAAAAATCATTACCTGAGAAAACACAAAAGAGAAAAATATTTCAAACAAAATCACATAACTTGAAAGTAGGTAAATTAGTAGTTTACTTCAAAGCATTTCATTGCAAAATGAAACTGTAAGAGAAATTCCAGCAACATCATGTCTTCGAGTTCTTTCCAATCTAATATTCAAGCTTAGCTTGTTGTCTAAGCAAGACAAAGAATCCCAATATAGAGAAATATAAAGTAAGCCTCAAAGAAGCCACCAGGGTACTGTGCTTTCTGACAAGCTCCCTGTCCAGAGTAGATCGATGTGTTTATATTGAATGTGACACCATGCCTAGACCCCATACTACAGTGTCAGAGTAATTATAACACCGACAGTACATGAGCAAAAAGTCATACTGGGTGAAAACCCACAGCTACCAGCAATCTCTGGGAAGTACCCTGAAATATCCCAAATTGTCCTTGAAGAGGTTAAAAATAGTAATATTCCTGAAACACCAAGCTACTTAAATCATAAAATATTTTTAATATAATGTATAGTAAACATCCAATTTGTCCATTCACTTTTTCCTTTGCTGATTTAGCAAATGTTTACTGATTGCTCACAGTATACCAGACAAAAGTAAGTCTCTCTCTTTATGGAGCTTAGATTCTAGTGAAGAAGATAAATATACACGATACATAAATAAACCATGTGGTACGCTGGAGAAAATAAAGTAGGGAAGAACAGGAAGTGGGTGTAGGAGAGCAGAAAAAGGACTGTTCTTTAAGATAGGGTGTCTAGGGTTATTCACAATGGGCCCAAATTGGAAACTACCAAATGTCCATCATCTGATGAATGGATAAACAAAATGTGGTATATCCATACAAAAAAATATTATTCAGCCATAAAAAGAAATGAAGTACTGATCCATACTATAGCATGGATAAACCCCCAAACATTATACTAAGTGAAAAAAGCAGACACGAGAGACTGCATACTGGATGATTCCATTTATGTGAAATCTCTAGAAGAGGCAGAACTATGGAGACAGTAGATTAGTGGTTGTCTGGGGCAGAGGTTAGAACAGGGATTAGCAATAAATGGGCAAAGGGATATAATTAGGGAGATGAAATTTTTCTAAAACTCATTAATGACAATGGTTGCACTATTCAGCATATTGACCTCTGGAGAGATGAGGAAGGAGGTCAGACAGTAATGAAAGTCAGATGATGAAGGACCCTGCAGGAACGACACAGTCAGTTGTCCCCCATCATAACCACTATTAACAACGTGCAGAGAGTCCTAGCCATTGTAGAAAGCTAAAGGGTGAGAGTATGGGGAGAGGTACAAGGATTAGAAAGAAGCAAAATATGTAACTGATATGTGATTATTAAAAAAATTCAAAAGAACTTGTGGATATATTATAGAACAAAATATAGCCAAGTTGCTAGATACAAGGTCAATAATTATCAACCAACTGCATTTTTATATACTAGCAAGAAATATTAAAAATATTTAACATAAAAAAAGAAAACCGCCCTAGCCAAAAGTCTGACTCAGTGGCTAGAGTGTCGGCCTGTGAACTGAAGGGTCCTGGGTTTGATTTCGGACAAGGGCACGTACCTTGGATGCAGACTCAATCCCCAGCCCCAGTCGGCACGTGCCTGAGGCAACCAATCAACGTGTCTCTCTCACATGGATGTTCCTCTCTCTCCCTCTTCCCCTTCTACCCTCTCTGAAAAGCAATGGAAAAAATATCCTCGGGTGAGGATTAAAAAAAAGAAATCCATTTATACTAACAACAGAAATAAATTACCTGGAAATAAATGTACCCAAGATTCGCAAAAACATTATCAAGAAAGCATATTAAAAAACATTAATGCATCTATTCTCGTTGTGTTCCCCCCCCCCC